GCTGGCATAGCAGGCTAGTGTTCTGGCATGAAAAAAAATAGCGCGAAAAACAGAATATAATCCTACAAAATGCAGCGGGCTAAAGAAAACATTGTCGGACCATACCAGAAAACTGTCGTCCGTTCAAAAGTATGCTCATGTTTTAAGCACCACACTCCTCGCTCTCTCTCATCTATCTCATCTATCTAGCATGCAGTCAGAATTCATGTCAAGATTGCAATGCTGGAGTGTGTGTGTGTGTGTGCGCCCGCGAGAGAGAGCCGCGGGCGCGATCGAACTGTGTGTGTGTGTGAGAGAGAGAGAGAGAGAGAGAGAGAGAGAGAGAGAGAGAGAGAGAGAGAGAGAGAGAGAGAGAGAGAGAGAGAGAGAGAGACGCGACCGAACTCGTGCACTCCTTCGCCTCTGTTCCTCGATATAGTAGAGCAGTTGTATTTGCAAATGCAGACAGGCCAAAAGTAAAAATGAGTACCACCGTAACAGCATCCGTGTGTGTGTGTGTGAGAGAGAGAGAGAGAGAGAGAGAGAGAGAGAGAGAGAGAGAGAGAGAGAGAGAGAGAGAGAGAGAGAGAGAGAGAGAGAGAGAGAGAGAGAGAGAGAGAGAGAGAGAGAGAGAGAGAGAGAGAGAGAGAGAGACGCGATCGAACTGTGTGTGTGTGTGTGTGTTTGAGAGAGAGAGAATGAGAGAGAGAGAGAGAGAGAGAGAGGCGCGGACGCGATCGAACAGTGGAAACATAATAGGCTACTCCGTCATTTTGTTCATAGAGGTTATCATTCAAACTGCAACGTGTTTACTTATATTTGTGTAACTTACACTCGCAATAAAACACAACATTGTGCTTTTGTCACACTCTAAACTCTTGTCAAACTGTAACCTACAACTGTCACCCAACCAAACACACACAGTTTTAAAAGCAACATCCAACCCCATTTCAAAACAGTCTGTGGGTTAAATCTTTTGGACATTAATCATATCGCATTGGTTTTCATTTCTTGTCTTCAGAGCAGTTACATATTCTACATTGATTAAAAAAGAAAATCAAATGTGTTTTTAATGGTAGTATTATTTTATACGAAAATCAATTATTTGCCATTCAGATGAGAATAAAGTTAGGGTTAATTAAATAAAGGAAAACAAATATATTGATCCGTTCTTAAAGGCTAATAATCTATTTTCTAGTTTGTTTTGGATGAACTCAGTTAGAGTGGTGGGTAGAATTTTGACGATGGGTCCTGTCTCGACTTTTTGAATCTTTTAGAATCGCCTCTGACCGCTTCACTGTGGCTGTCTACGAGCATACACACACATTTCCTTAAAACAGCCCTTAAAGTTCGTTTTCAAAACTGTGCAAGAAGGACTATTGCAGTTTATAACACAGCAGCAGGTAGACGGCATCTTGAACACTGCGTTCTTCCCTCCATGCAATCAAGTCACTCTGGCTGGCGCCTTCTGTTTGTGCCGCGGATTCCCAAAATGCTTTGCGTTCACCACTGATAATACGTCACGACGGACGTCACATTAGCAATCTCTATTGTGAAAAGCGCTATATAAATAAAGATGACTTGACTTGACCAGTCTCTCTGTTTATCCGAGGTTTACTGCTGTCCAGGCCGTATCCAGATCTGATGCAGGACCTGCGCCTAGACACGATGCCAACGCAGTCCTGAATTGTCAACCAGTCCCTTCCCTGTTTACTGAAGTCAGCCAGATCCCGGCTGTATCCAGATCAGATGGTGGACCTGCACCTGGACCCATCCATGATGCATCCCTGAAGTGCCAGCCTCATCAGCCCTGTGAAGGCCTCATCGACACGACAGCCATCAGCACTGATCCTCAACAAACTCGTCTCCATGCCGGTGTGATGACTCCGACTTCCAACCAGATGGAACTGGATTATATTCTGAATGTTCTGATCCAATCTGACTTCTGACCTGTAATGCTGCCTGAATCATAATCATACACTGTTCGCTCATTGGCCAGAGGAGAACTGGACCCTGACTGAGCCTGGGTTCTCCCAAGGTTTTTTCGACATTCTGTCACTGATGGAGTTTTGGTTCCTTGCCACTGTTGCCTTGGCTTTTGGCTTGTTTAGTTGGGTTACATTTACATTTATTCATTTAGCAGACGCTTTTATCCAAAGTGACTTACAAATCAGGGGCCGTATTCACAAAGAATTTTATCTTACCACTAGGAGTACTCCTAAATCGCACTAAAATATTTTAGCTAGGAGTTTTCTCTTAAAGGTTATTCACAGCGCCTTTCAGACCTACTCTTAGTAAGGAAAAATGACAACTCCTAAACTAAGAGTGAGTCTTCGTTGCTATGGATGACGTCAATTCTCATGCACGAGCTTCCTCACAATGATCACGGTGATTGGTTGTTAGATGACAGGGCTATCATATCATGCGGAACACAGACGCAACAAATCATGGAATTACAACATCTAAATATGTCTGTGTCCTAGACAACATAATAATAGTAATGTCATCGAAATGCATATATAATGACATGTTTGTGCAGGCCCCAGTGAAGTGTAATTCTAAAAAGGCAGAGAGAGAGAGAAATATATATATATATATATATATATATATATATATATATATATATATATATATATATACACCCTAATGAAAACCGCCACTTGCCCAATAATGAAAAACGACACTTGCATTAACACTTGCTTGGTTAATTGACATCCTATTAGCCTAAATAGACTACTTAAGGAAAGTAAATAGACTACTTAAGCAAGGAAATGTTGCTCCTATTGAAGTAATGTAATAGTTGAATGACGGTGGATTATGAACTCGCCAAAACGGAAAAGAAAGCCCAACTGGACGCAGGATCGGTTACTGCTGCTGAAGAAAAAAAAAACATAATAAAAGGGAAATTCGGCACTGGGATATCCAGCAAAACTAAGCGTGAGACATGGGAGAGGATTTGTTTGCAGATCAATGCAGCATTCCCGCTTTGTGTCGCAGACGCCGGACGACTGGAGAGGCGGTGGTATGCGCTACAATCCTTTGTGAATAGGTCTTAGTGAGTTAGGAGTCCTCTCGACTTCTTTTAAGCTGTCCCAGACTTAGGTGCTACTTTTAGGGCTAAAATGCTTCGTGAATTACTCTTAGTGAAAAAAATTAGGAGTCCTAAAGTGTGACACGCCCATCATTTTTAGGAGTTGCTCCTAAATTCGCCAGTTAGGAGCTACTTTTAGCCTTAAAATTCTTTGTGAATACGGCCCCAGAACAATAGAAGCAGTTAAACTAACAGTAGGACAACAATATGCAAGTTCTATGACCCCTCTCAGTTTCATCTAACGCAGTCCATTGTAATAGTCTGTGTTGCTGCACGTTTCTGTATTTGGTTGTGTTGTGAGCTTTTGCAGCGCATTTCTGTATTTGGTTGTGTTGTGAGTATTTGGAGCACACGTGTGTTGCAGGGGAAACCACAGCTGGAAAGTACCAAACTCCACTTACTCACAGAAAATCTCTTGAGGCCGGCATGATATAAGGCGTACAGGGAGTCATCTGGGTAGTGCACCATGCGATCTAGATGGAGATTCTCATGGGTGCGATCCTCAAGTGAACGGTCAAACAATTGTGAAATTGCACATCCATCAGGTTTGAAGATCACCTGAAGCAACTTTGGTGAACATTACTCAAAATTGGTACCATCAATTCCACCATGATGTAAGAAATCAGAAGGGAAAATTTGGTTTAAAAAAGTTTATATGTTCTGGATGTTTTGAACTGTTCTTTGCACTAGTGGAGTTTGGCAGCTAATATATCTCCCAGAAGAAAGAGCTCAGGGGCCGTATTCACAAAGAATTTTAAGGCTAAAAGTAGCTCCTAACTGGCAAATTTAGGAGCAACTCCTAAAAATAATGGGCGTGTCACTCCTAACTTTAGGACTCCTAATTTTTTTCACTAAGAGTAATACACGAAGCATTTTAGCCCTAAAAGTAGCACCTAAGTCTGGGGCATACACCGCCTCTCGCAGTCGTCAGGGGTCCGCGACACAAGCGGGAATGCTGCATTGATCTGCAAACAAATCCTCTCCCATGTCTCACGCTTAGTTTTGCTGGATATCCCAGTGCCGAATTTCCCTTTTATTATGTATTTTTTTTTTCTTCAACACCAACTGGGCCAGCAGCAGTAACTGATCCTGCGTCCAGTTGGGCTTTTCTTTCCGTTTTGGCGAGTTCATAATCCACCGTTATTCAACTATTACATTACTTCAATAGTCCACAACATTTCCTTGCTTTAAGTAGTCTATTTAGGCTAATAGGATGTCAATTAACCAAGCAAGTGTTAATGCAAGTGTAATTTTTCATTATTAGGCAAGTGGCGGTTTTCATAGGTTTTCCTAGGCTATACCTTGATTTAATTTAATTGAATTCACGACTTTTCTCTCTCTCTCTGCCTTTTTAGAATTACACTTCACTGGGGCCTGCACAAACATGCATTTCGATGACATTACTATTATTATTTTGTGTAGGACACAGACATATTTAGATGTCGTAATTCCATGATTTGTTGCGTCTGTGTTATGCTCCGCATGATGGCCCTGTCATCTAACAACCAATCACCGTGATCATTGCGAGGAAGCTCGTGCATGAGAATTGACGTCATCCATAGCAACGAAGACTCACTCTTAGTTTAGGAGTTGTCATTTTTCCTTACTAAGAGTAGGTCTGAAAGGCGCTGTGAATAACTTTTAAGAGAAAACTCCTAGCTAAAATATTTTAGTGCGATTTAGGAGTGCTCCTAGTGGTAAGATAAAATTCTTTGTGAATACGGCCCCAGAACATGTTTCCTAAGAGATTTCCAGAGCTGAAATGCATTCACAAGTGTAGTCTATTTAAAAAAGTAAGATGATCACAACAAATCACATGATAACACAACAAACAGAATTCCTGGCAACATTGCAGTCAACTGCTCATTCTACTCTCTAAATGTCTCTTTCTCAAGTCCACTATGATCCTGTTCTTCTAGATCTCTGTTACCTGCAGGAACTGGATGTGATCCTGTGTGTGTGAAAGCTGCTCCAGCTCAGCGTTTCTCCTCCTCAGATCATTGATCTCCTGCTCCAGTCGCTCCAGTTGTCCTTCAGCTCGACTCACTGCAGTCTTTTCCTGATCTCTGATCCGCTGTGTCGCCTCAGAGCAGATTCTCTCAATGGAGCGGATGAGCTCAGTAAAGGTCCTCTCACTATCCTCCACTGCTGTCTGTGCAGAGCGCTGTTAGGACACATCAGAATCACACAGTGAGCTTCAGTGAGTCCTGACTGAGACTTCTCAAACTTCTCTTCTTCTCCAGACTCACCTTATGAGACGCCACAGCCTCTCTCAGCCGCTGAAGATCTTTCTCTCTCTGCTGGATCCTCTGCTGGAACGACCTCTGCGTCTCCTTCAGCTGCTTCTGCACCACAAATCAATAACAGAGATGTCAGTTTATAATGCTGTCACATATCTGTCAGGGTTCTGTCACTTTGGTCTAGTTTATTCTTGGTTTTGTGCCAGAGCCATGACACTTCGGTATTGTCTTGTTTTTGTGTGAGCGTACGTTCTCTTGTCTGTGTGCCTTGTTTCATGTTTGAAGCGTGGTGTTCAGATTCCAGCACTCATGTCTAGTTTGGTTTCGGTTCTGTGCCGGGATTCGGACATTCATGCTCTGTGTGTTATTATTCTGTTGTGAGTTCACAGGATGAGCATTTGCTCGTTCTCGTGCACTCCGTCTTGTTGTGTAAGCATGCGGTTTCAAGTTCGCTCTGGCCATACGCTCTTCTGGCTGCGTGTGATTTTTGAGTTCTGTGTAGCATGCGACTCGAGTTTCCATCGGCTGCGTGCTTTCATGTTATGTTTTGTCTTGTGCTGAGCAGCATGCAGCCATTTTGTTATCTGATCATTGGTTCATTTGCCCCACCTGTTTTCCCTAATCACCTGCCTTGTTTGCTCACTGTTTATTAGGGGCCAAGCACTGAAGGTGCCTCCGCAATCGAAATTGTTGGCGTGCTTATTATTATTTTGCTTCTTCTTCCGCTCTAGGAGTCTATGGCAGCCCATAGAACCGCTTGCGGGAAAGTTATAAAATTTGGCACACTTATAGAGGACAGTCTGATCTGTCACCATAGCAAATTTGGAGTCTCGAAATCAATCCCTCTAGCGCAGTGGTTCTCAACCTTTTTTGGGCCAGCGCCCCTATCCAATATCCAGGTCCCTGACCGCCCCAGCATTTTGTGCATTTTAATGTTAAATTCATCAATCTGGTGCACTTTGAGAGTTAAAAATTAAAAGCTCCAACCCATATTCAGTATGAAAATTAAACAAAGCAAAATTCAAATCTCTTTTAGTTGTGTCCGTCTACATTACACTACTACATAATAATAGTTATAATATAAATCCCATGACAGTAATAGCCATTAGGGGTGGAACGGTACACAGAAGTCACGGTTTGGTTTATACCTCGGTTCAGACATCACGGTTCGGTACGAGTCCGATACAATGGAGGGAAAAGCAAAACAAAAATGCAGAAGGCAATGTCTCAGGCTGTACCACCTGACCTGTGTGTGGGGGGTGCTAAATTAAAGGAAAATGTCTTAATGTCTTAAGCCGACTCTGATGATTCAAAAGTTATTAGCATAAACATGAGTCAAATTCGAAAAATCAACCAAGTCCATAAATGTGATGTGGGTTCAGAGCTCCATGCTCTCAGACAGGTCCCGGGCACAGACCGATCGGTTTGCCTACCGGAGCTCCGCCTGGAGCTAAGACGGTCCTGAGACGGACCTTCAGGCCTTCATCGAAGAGGGGAGTGTGGTGGTGGCGAACACACAAACACACCTCATCATCAGACCGTTGTGAGTCCCACTCAGAGTCACTCTGGGTGGGTATAAAATCCAGATTACACCGCATGGTGGAGCACTGGAAGTCCTGGGGGAGAGGGCCTCCAGGACAAAAGCTGAGCCTAGGCAGGGCAGCTTTCCTGGGCACGAATCAAGCTCAAATGCCCATGTATTCTCATCTGAATTATACCTAATTTGGTAACACTTTATAATAACGGCACGCTATTAATCATTAGTTAAGCATTAGTAAACAGTTAACATTAATATACATTAATAAGCAGTTTATAAATACAGCTATAAATGCTTTATTCTTGATTTATAAGCATATCTATAATGTGTTTAATAATTGTATTTTCATACTTTGTTAATGATCAATTAATACTTTAATGAAGTATTGCATTATTTACAAACCAGTTATTTCAGAGTTGTCAGTGATTCATAAGATCACTTAGAAAGTGTAAGTAAATGTAGTAAATGCAAGTAGTTATAAAGCATTTAGTAGTGGTCAGTTAACTATTTTTGTGAGCTCATCTAAAGTGAGGACTATTCATGCATTGTAAAGTATTTACAAAGGAGATTTAAAGGCTCATTTATCTTCTAAACAGAAAACAAACACAAGTGATCACACACAGTGATACAGAACATAGAAATATTTAAATCTCATTTGTAAATGCTTTACCAGGCATAACTAGTCCACACTTTAGATGAGCTCACAGAAATAGTTAACTGACCACTACTAAATGCTTTATAACTACCCGAATTAACCCTGAATTACAGTATAAATACATGTTAATAAAGCATTTATTAACACACTAAGTAACTATTACTATATGTCTGAATAATAAGATGTATGAATGTACATTTAAATAGTTTATTAATCATTTACTTACACTTTCTAAGTGATCTTATGAACCACTGACAACTCCTAAATAACTGGTTTGTAAATAATGCAATACTTCATTCAGAAATGATAAATTGATCATTAATAAAGTATGAAAATACAATTATTAAACACGTTATAGATATGCTTTTAAATCAAGAATAAAGCATGTATAACTGTATTTATAAACTGCTTATTAATGGTTATTAATGCTTTATAAATGATGAATTAACTGTTTACTAATGCTTAACTAATGATTAATAGCGTGCAGTTATTATAAAGTGTTACCTGTAACTTAAAAATAAACAGATTAGTGCTCTGTTTGAGGACAAGAAATGAAAACCAATGCAATATTATGAATGTCCAAAAGATGGCACCCACAGACTGTTTTTAAATGGGTTGGATCAATAGATACGATTACAGCTGTCATCATGACTCATGAATATTTTTCTGGTCAAACTGAAAAGATTGTTTTGATTTTCCCCCTCCCGTTTATCTACAGCTCAGATCTAGAATTCTGAAGTGAAATAAAGTAGCGCTGTAATAATTTTTTTATGAATTAACAAGAGCAAGAGAGAGAGAGAGGTGCGCAAGTGAGTAATCTAATATTGAAGCTTGTTGGTTTAATTAATTGTAACTGACTGGGAAACCGAAGTTTTAACCAATCCTTAAAGAGGCCGGCAGGTCCTCTAACTCTTGTGGGTCGCCACCACTCGCCATACTCGTCCTTAGTTCTGCTATCTTTGACTCACTCACTGGACCGTCGTCTACCTGACAAAAAACTGCATAAAATAGGCGGAGCTCGCCTAACGCGGAGCTACAGATTATGTGTCCCTAAAGCCTAGTTCACACTACATGATTTTAAGCCCGATTTAAGCCCGATTTGCAAATCGTTGAGCTCGCCGACAGGTCAGGGTGTTATCGCGTGCAAATCGCGGGAGATTAGCGGGCGATGAACGCTCGCCAATCTGTTAGTATGAAAGAGCCAACAACGCATCAAAGACGCTCGCAGACGCCTCGCAGACGCGTCGCCGAGCCCAGAAAAATATCTAGCATGCTAGATATCCAGAGCTGTCGCACGACTCAAGCTCACGTGATGTCATGAGCTACAGCCAATCAGAGCAAGGCATGTTCGCGTGTTGTGTTCTTCTTCGGGTATTGGCGCGCGTGCTGTTTCGCGTCATTTCCGGTTCGTTTTATCGCGTGATTTTTCGTGACAAAACGTGGTTTGTAGACAAGATAGAATCGTTGGGTGACAGAGTTGTTGTCAACTCGTGTAGTGCGTTACCCCCTGTTGTGGATCAATCACGTTGTGTCGTGTGGTGTGAACTAGCTCAACAACTTGAACACTCCTGATTTCACAGAGAGCAAGTCATGTAGTGTGAACCGCACAGTTCAGCCAGACGTTTTAAAATCATGTAGTGTGAACTAGGCTTAAAGAACCCGCGTCTCTAACAGTAGTTCCACATTATATTAATTAATTTGCACGCAAGTTTTATTTATTTTTATACCATGTATTCTCCGTGTAAATTCATGCACCGAACCGTTACGCCCCTTACGTTTCGGTTCAATACGAATACATGTACCGTTCCACCCCTAATAGCCATATATTGTAAAACAAATGCAATGAAAAATAAAGGACAGTCATTAAAGCGGTAATGTTTGTACGTAGGTTTTATTACATTTAGGAGAGCAAGAAGCTACTTACATTAACCTTACTTTCGAAAAATAAATAAGTACAATCATGATTTTTCATGAAATTTTTGAATTGTAGGCCTAAAATACCTTGGTATCAGCTTGTTTTCATCAATGGTATAATTAATACAATTACAATTAATTTGGTTTGTCTTGATAAATTTGTGTTCATAATCAGTAAAAAAAAGAAATCTTCAAACAAGAATAAATATATATGATTAATTAAATGAAGTACTTTACAGTACTTTAGCGCTGGAAGATTTTAGAATGTTAGGCAATTATTTCACAAGTAAACATGTTTAATCTTGTCTTGCCTCTATCTTTGGCAGGGGCGCTGGGAAAATTTTTTAGGTTGGGGGTGCTGTGTTTTTTGTGGGGGAGGGGGGGGGGCACTTTTGAATAAGAAATAATATTAAGTCGTCAAAATACAACTCGTCACAACAAATGGAATCACAACAAGCGTATAGGTGAGAACACTCATTTAAACAGCATACACACACCCGAACTTGACTGCACATCATATTTTTGACATTATTGATACTGCTTTCAATCGTAATGCAATAGAAATGAACACAAAAAACCTGCCTAGTGCCTACCTACAACACTGACGGTGGACTTGCGTTCAGGAGTAGAGCGGACAAATGTTTTTTTTTTAGCGGCTGCTGACGAATTTTTTCACAATATTCACAATATGACCTCACACTCTGCGCATTTGTTTTACAACATAATTTAACATATAAATAGTCCTAACACTTTTTAAATAGCCCACTTAAAGTGTTTGTTAGAAACAAATTACTAAATGCTTAAAATGAATAAAAGTATATGAACAAAAATTTGCGTTATATTTAAACTCGTGAACACCTGAACGCCCCCCTTTCAAAAATCTTGCTTCCAACTGAACCATTGTTCTCTGAACGTCCCTGTTGAGAACCACTACTCTAGCGCCACCAACTGTCCAAAGTTTCACTCATGTTTATGCTAATAACTTTTGAATCATAAAGGCTAGAAAAATAATTCTCTTCTCACTGATTCCTTAGCTCAAGACGATTCAATTGCACCCTATTTTCCGTCATGAAAATTTGTCCGCCATTTTGAATTCTCCGAAAAACCTACTTTTACTAACTCCTCAGTTTCGCGATGCTCAGATTTTCACGAAAATGTAACCAGTTCATCTCCAGACCATGCAGATAAAAAGTCATGGAATTAATGTCGATTCGTCAAACCGTTCTTAAATACCGGGCAAACTAATTTTACATAGCACTTACAAAAACAGACGTAAGGCTGTATCTCCGCAATGTTTTATCGTATTCAAACCAAACTTGGTACATGTCATCACAAGCATGACTTTGAGTTTCGGCGCAGTGCCACCTACTGGTCCGGAGATATGAAAAATGGTTGTTTTTGCTAATATCTTCTGAACGGTTTTGTCCCAAAATCATAAAAGTGGTCTCGTTAGATTCAGAGCGTCATGCCGAGTCGACTGATATCCATCAATATCGACCATTTTAGGCGTCCGTCATTTTGAATTTTGTACCAAAATGCTGTATTTTCTGAATGCATGAATGGTCTTGGTTATCAGTACGATGCCCTGAAGGAGATTGAGAAGTTTCGACCACCTCCACCTAGTGGTAAAATTAAATGTTCAAATGCTTATAACTCTGGGTGTGGTTGACTGATTTCACGGGAGTCATCTCCTGAATCTTTGCCGAGTCCAACGATATCAAACATCCTAGGTTTTGCTTTATCGTTTGTGTAGCTTTGTGATTTAGAAAAACATTAAGAAATATCTTCGAAACCGTCGAGACGAAACCACCGTCAGAAGTTTGAAAACCTAGGTCGTTGGCTATATGTTACTGCCCAAATGTCAAAATATTAATAGTAAGTGGCATGAAAATGCAAACTTTTTTGTGTTTATACATATAAATGTCTATAACTCCAAAACAAAATGAGATTTTTTCACCAAATTTGACACACATGTATGAACTCTGAGGACACATGAAAAAAAAAATGGTGGGATTGTGCAAGTTGTTGGCGCTATAATAGAACAAAACGTGAAATTGCCATTGACTTCAATGCAGTATTGTGATTAAAATGCTATACTTAATTAATACATTGGTGTAACATTACGAAACTCAGTGTGTGCCATCAGCAGCAAGCCCTGAAGGTACTCAAAATATTTTGAGACAGCGCCACCTTTTGGTCAAAAGTTAAAATTAGATTTCCAAAAATGCTAATAACTTTTGATTAAATTTGCCTAATGTAATGACACTGGTGTTATGAACCCCGTATGGGTCATATTTGTGGGTTGTGTGTTTTTCTTTCTGTTTGGTTTGCAGGATGGAGTTAGAGTGAGTGACGTCATTATTGACTAAGGAGTTACACCTGTGTTGGAGCTGATGCCGGCAATTAAAGCAGTTCCTTTCAGCTGTGACGGCGCTCGCGCTCTCCCATCCTCGTGCCGTTTGTGTCTTGGATTCCGTTGTTTGTTTTCTTTCCGTCTCGTCTCCATCTCATTTAATTGTTCTTACTTTAATAAATGTTATTCTTTTGAGCAATATCCAACGTGTTGTCTCCTTCCTTGTTGCGGCTTGCGAGCCGGCCGTGACAGTGGTCTTATTAGATTCCTTGGGTTATGATACATAGATACCAATTGCCATAGTCTTCTTGTCCGCCATCTTGATTTTCATTCAATACCTACTTTTTCAAACTCCTCCTAGAACGTTTGTCCGATTTTCACCAAAATTGAATCATATCATCTCCAGACCGTGAGATGATACGACTAAAAGTTATGGATTTCGTGTTGATAGATAAAAACGTTTTTGTATACTGCAGCAGCAAAGTTGAGGCATGATGCCAAAATGACTATTCCGGCTTTATCTCTGCAATGCCTTGACATAGACACCAAACTATATATGTGTCATTGTCAACTCACTCTGACAACATCACATCAATTTAGTAATTGCGCCACTTATTGGTCGAAAGTGATAATCCATTAAATCATATTTTTAGTTACTGTTTATATGATTTTTCAGCCATTTCGCCTAAAATCCTGTTTAAATGTCTTTAATTGCTCATTGTTGCAGTTGGTCTGACACTTTCAGCCATGTTGGCATGTCTTATTGTCTGTTAGCGATTGGCCCCGATAATTTCTGCTTGCAGCTATATTTCTCCTTGTGTTTGCATTCCTGTGCCAGATCGTCGTCAAATGATCCCCTTGTGTCCTGCCCTGCCAGATCCTATTTGCCTAGCCAATTCAATTCATGCATCTGTTAATAACTGCCACAGTTATAAAAAGTTGATCGGGAATCAGTCATTCTAATTTACATGAAGACAGGCATCCCATATCCATGAAAAAATTGATTTTGAAAACAAAACAGATGTCAAAGCCGGAAGTGAAGCTATAAACGACTGAGTTTATATGGACTAAAACAGATTTACTAAAAAGAAAGGCCCTGTGGGCCTTTTTGTCTGTTGCTGCATTTAACTTGTGTTATTATTTTGCTTCATCAAAGCCTGTTTTTCAAAAGTTTGTGGTTGTAAATATGTTTATGGTACATTTTAACCATATTTTCTGTTAAAGGGGCTGTGTGTAGGATTGTCCTTAAAAAAATCTTTAAGATAGAGTTTTCATTTGTACATTTATGAGCCAACCATAAGGTAATAGAAAGAATGACACCTTGACTGTCCACCACGGTTGCCTCTATCAGCCTGTAGGCTCAATTGTGTGTGGAGGAGTCGGGTCCGAATTGGTGCGAAAATTCACTAAACGTGACGTCATGCCCGTTCTTGGTTACTATTGCTTACATCCGTACGGTAGCCATTACTGCTAGCGATTGCCGCTGCGGCCAAAATAGAGAGCGTCGGGCAAAGACAAGAGTCAACATCGGAGCTTGTGAAATAAGTTCACCTGTGTGTGTGTGCGCGAGCGAGAGTGCGAGCGAGGGTGTGAGCGAGAGTGTGAGTGTGTGTGTGTGTGTAATGAGTGTGTGTTTGTTGTGAGTGACAGAAGTGTTCACCTGTGTTCCTACCTCTCGTCTGTCACTCATTAGCGACGGCTCGCTCTCGATCTGTGTGTGTGTGTGTTTGTTTAGTTTAACACATGCTGGTGAATCTCGATGAGCCGTTTGTGGTTGCTGCGGCAACTCTCTGGTTGCTGTGGTCGTGCTCGTACGAGCGTGCGCACCGAAAACGAGCATGAGACGCTGCAGTTTCTCTAACGGCCACTGGTGTCAGTAACGGTTAGACATTTTTGAACTTACGCAATGCTCCTTTAAGTTCAATGCAGAGCACTAATACGCTCAGCAGTGAAAGTCCACTTACAGCTTCTTTTCACTTCTGCTGAAGTCTGCATTGTGAATGATGTTTCCTGATCATATGGGTGCCAATATAAATAGTGTCAACATTATTTCATCAGTGTCTAGTTTAAAGTTCATACCTGATTCTCTGTCCTCTGTGCTGCAGCTGATACAGTGTCGTGGTTTTTATGTTCATCCATCGTACACAGCACACATATAAACTTCTGGTCAGTGCGGCAGAAAACCTCAAGGAGTTTATCATGTGTTTGGCAGATCATCTCCTGCAGGCGTCCAGTGGCATCAGTCAGATTGTGTCTCTTTCTTTTAAAAAAACTCTCATGTTGTTCAAGGTGATTCTCACAATAAGAGTTCAGACACTCCAGACAGGACTTGATGGCTTTGCGTTTTCTTCCATCACAGACGTCACACTGCACATCTCCAGCTCCAGCGTTACAGTCATCAGGAAGTTTAGTCTTCTTCAGTTTCTCCACCACTTCAGCCAGCATGGTGTTTTTAGTTAAAGCAGGTCTTGGACTGAAGGTCTGTCTGCACTGAGGGCAGCTGTAGACTCTCTTCTCATCCTCCTGATCCCAGCGTCCTGTAATACAGATCTTACAGAAACTGTGTCCACAGGGAATGGTCACTGGATCCTTCAGGAGATCCAGACACACTGAACACTGGAACTCATCCTGAGAAATTCTGGCTTCTGCCATTTTACTGCTTGAATACAGAGACACAAACACACAACAGCTCAACTGCACCTCAGTTTCAGTTTCTCTGAACTGAAGAGTTTCCTGGTTCTGTGTTTTTTAGTTATGTGTGAAAAACATGTGCCTGCAAAACTGTAAAGCAGGTTCCTCACTCCTAGTGTAGTGGGTTTCCGTCTGCGTTGTGTTTCCGTCTGCCACTCCGTGCTGTGAAACAATTTAGCCCAAAAATTTGACTGACCTGTGCAAAAACCAATACTTGGAAGGGGGCAGTTTCAAATTATGATCCTTGAGACGTTGAAACAATTTCTAGTCTCTGCAAGCTTTCTTTTTCAGTCTTAGCACAAGCTAATGCTAAAACATCATCAACGTATGTTCAGTGGGTTTAGTTTTCACAGTTTTTTAGTTTGATTTCATTTGTCATGTGTTTTCTTTGTTCAGTTTCCCGCCACTCGTCTGTCTCCTTGGTTACGGCTATCATTAGGTCATATGTGTCAGCTGTGTGTGATTAATTATCCTCGTTTGTGTTTTTTTGTTCCCTCTCCTGCACTCCTGGTCTGGTATTGTCTGTGCACAAGCACACTGTCTCGCATGTTGGCTGTCTATTTGAATCTATTTAAATTAACCTGTTGTTATACTATCTTCATCTTGGTCTTCATTAGGGGAATCCCATTAGGGGAATCCCATTAGGGGAAGTTTAGAAAAAGACCCAAATATAGCCTATTCATTCTTTTTCTCACGTGAATAGGGTAAACATTTTAACCTTTAGATATCACCATTACTGAAATTGTTTGTTAACATGGACAAACAATAATTACATATGTGTAATTACATATTTTTGCTAATTTGCATAAATACCACAACAGATCTTAACATTGGGTATAGCCAGGTGAAAATGTCTTCTTGAATCTTGTTGACATATAACAGTAAAATACTTAATGTTAAGGTCTGAATGGAACCCATTTAGGTTACCCATGAGCATTAATACATATAGGCAAAAAGAAGTACTTTAGAAACCAGCCTTAATTAGATTATTATTGCAGAGATTGGGTTTGGGGCTGGGGCCATATGGGACTGTTTCTGGGGGATAAGTCTGAGGGAAGAACAGGAGACACGGGTAAGGAGAATACAGAAAACAAAATGTAGGTAAAATAAAAAGTGGCTGGATCAGACAATCAAATTAATCCATGTAGGAGAAACAAAAGGAAATCTTTCTTACCTGAGTGACCGCTTAGTGACAGTTGACCTAATGACTGAATCTCTGCCCCTTATGGTGACATTTGTTTGCCTCTATAGACTTTTACTGTAAGATGTCAACAAGATTCTACAAATGTTCTAAAAACATTTTCACCTGGCTGTACCCAATGTTGCGTTATTTATGCAAATTAGCACATACATAATTAGATTGTGCACAGCTTGTCCATGTTAACAAACAATTTCAAAAAACTTGTAATACATTTTTTGTTTGTCTTGATGCAAGTTATCAACTCAGTAATTTTCATGATGATATCTAAAGGTTAACATTTTTACCCTATTCACGTGAGAAAAAGAATGAATAGGCTATATTTGGGTATTTTTCTAAACTTTCCCCTAATGGGATTTTTCTGGGCTTTTTTTTTACTTAATCAGGACATATTGAGAATACAAAATCAGTTGAGTTTGCTTCTGTTGCAATTTGTTCTAGGTTGACCCCCATTTTGGCTTAACCCTCTGGGGTCTAAGGTGTTTTTGGGGTCCTTGAGATGTTTTGACATACTCTGACATTTGTGCTTTTTTCAGTTGCTTATAAACATATTAATGGAAAAGATGTAATTACACTCTATTTAGCTCAAAAAGGGCTACCATAATATGTGAGCAACATCCCGCAACATTTTTGAGAGAATATTGTTTATGCATGGTTATTGAAAAAACTAAAAAAATTTAAGTTTCTGAAATAAGGCCACAAAACACATACTAAATATGTGTCTACTAGACTTTTGACTAATGGATGTTGTTGCCTAGAGTTTTTGCTTCAGAATGATCTGGAAATCATCCTGCCTAATCATTACAAAACATTGATTTAAATTTTGTAAGACACTTTTTTTTTTGGAAAGTCAATATGCAGGGGGGCATGATTCACACCTAAGAAGACAATGACCTGCATAATGAGCTGCATAATGAGCCTTTCACACAGGTGTGTCACTGAGCCACAAGAAAAAATGCAAGGACAAAAAATGTATATATATATATTACACAATTGGTTCACAGTTGGAAACATCTCGAAAAAAATTGTATTTTTCCACTTGTATTTTTGCTTGCAAATTGTATAATATCCAAGGTAAACATTTCTAGTAATTGTGTAGTTAATTCTCATACCTGTCACGGCTCGTAGCAAGGAAGACGGAGATGAAAGTAGTTCAAACACTTTCTTTAATCGTAGAAACGCAGGATACACAGGAACAGATGAGACAGTGTGTGAAACATGAACAATACAGGACAATGAACAGAATACAGGCAGGAACAGGAACTTAAATACACAGTGATGATTAACCCTCTGGGGTCCAAGGTGTTTTTTGGGTCCTTGAGATGTTTTGACATACTCTGACATTTGTGCTTTTTTCAGTTGCTTATAAACATATTACTGGCAAAGGTGTAATTACACTCTATTTAGCACACACAGGGCTACCATAATGTGTTATCAACATGTATGTACATTTTTGAATTTTTGAGAGAATATTGTTTATGCGTGGTTATTGAAAAAACTAAAACTTAAAGTTTCTGAAATAAGGCCACAAAACACATACTAAATATCTGTCCACAAGACTTTTGACTAATGGATGTTGTCGCCTAGAGTTTTTTCTTCAAAATGATCTGAAAATCATCCTGCCTTATCATTCACATAAAACAATAGATTGGTTTAAATTTAAAAATGACACTTTTTGTTTGGAAAGGCAATATGCGCAGGGGTGTGACCTGCTGTGATTCACACCTGAGAAGACAATGGGCCCGCATAATGAGCGCATAATGGGGCTGCATACTAATGACCCTTTCATTCAGGTGTGTCACTGAGCCACAAGAATGCAATGACAGTATATATATATATATATATATATATATATATATATATATATATATATATATATATATATATATATATATATATATATATATATATATATAGGCCTATATAATACAAAATTGGTTCACAGTTCCAATTATTTATTTATTTTTCAAATTGTGCTTGCAAATTGTATAATATCAAATGTAAAAATTTCTAGTAATTGTGCAGTTAATTATCATACTGTTTTTACAGAAAGTTTGGGAATGTATCCCAAATGTGTCACTAATAAAACACAATACAAATAATTTAAAGAGGAGGCTTATATTGAGCTTTTAAGATTTACCTAAGATTTATTTATATGTAGCCTACATATATTTTTGCTATTTTAATAAAAAGGTTACAATTACAACAACAATTAAAATTTTAACTATATTTCAAATGTAATCTTTCTTTGTATTATATACTAAAGTATACATTTTATCATACATATTTCACAGTTGCGGATTAATTAGTTTGAATATAGCTTACAATCGAACAAATACTATAATAACATCTTAGCAAACAAGCTTATTTGATGTGGCAGTATTTTACAGTAAAAACGACATCTTGTCTTTCATATGTAACATATTGTTTTTATGATTAGGACATATAAATGTTAATTTGCAGTTTAATACGTTGCTTATACAAAAATATTTTATTTCAACATATTTCAGTCGATTTTTACTCATCTCAGTATTGGAATATAGTTAGGTAAAAGCTGTTCATTCATTCACACACAAACACGCGATTCAAACAGTCTTTTTGTTTACAGACACTATTCCATATCGCGATTAGCACAAAGCACTTGAAAATAAAGAATGTACCTATTTCCTCGGCTGGATCCATTGCTCCTCCAAATGAAACTACCTGTAGCCTACTTCTGAGGTAATTTTTTCCAGGATTATTATTAAGATAGTACTATTATTCCTCACAGCATCGTAATATGAGTCTCTTTCGGTGGGTTTTCCAGCTGATGTGGGCGTGGATCGCCTCAGAGCATTTGTGTTTGAATAGAGCGCGCGCTCCGTGGGCGTGGTCAAATTAACTTTAATGAGCTGAGACGAGAACGACTATCATCTCTCTCTTTTCGTACAGATTACATAAAATGAGAGAAACATTTTTTTATATAAATTACTTCATTTAAAAGAAGATAATTCAGGCTTCATGCCTGTGTGCCTGTATACCTGTTTGACTGAGTATTTGCAGAGTTACAGATGATTTTTCGGACGCGTTTCAGAATGGACTTCACTGACAGAGAGAACGCAGAACGCGCATCATGTTTATTTTTCTTTATTAGGCAAAAAGCACAACACTTTGTTTTTATTATGAGGTTCCACAAAAAAAATACAAACTTAACAGGATCGAATGATGTACAACACTTATATGTAAGATCAAAATTAACAGAGTAATTTGAGTCTCTTTTGCACTGATAAGGAAAAAAGTGAGCTGGTATCGCCGGCGAGACCGCCGACCCCAGAGAGTTAACACAAACGACAGGCAGCTGTGAGGAAGGTGATCAGTGTCCATGGTAACTGATTAGTGGCGTGAAACACAGACAGGGAAACACAAGTGAGAAATGAAAACAAACTGAAAGTCTATTAACATAACGGTGACATTACTCCCCCATTCCGGCAAGGCGCGTCCTCGCGCTGTAACAGAACAACGGAGGGAGGACCGGAGGAGGTTCTGGTGGTGGACGAGGTGATGGGGAAGTGAAGGAGAGAGGAAGGGATGATGACAATTCCCTGGCGGCATTGATGGAATGGGCCTGGTGGCGCAGACCCAGAGCAGTCCAGTACCGACAGCCCATGACGGAGTAGAGGAAGGGAGGAGACCAGGTGGTGAAGAGGCTGACGGCAGCTGGGGGACGACCGCCAGAGACTCGGCGGGTGGATCCATCGGCACAGACGGAGAGCCGGTGGACACAAACAACGTCGCTGGACTGGGAGATCTAGGTAACGACGTGACAACGAA